GGATTATAAAAAAAATATTATAAGACAAATAAATTGAAATGGACGAGTATCTTTTACACTATTTTTGCCCCTATTCACGGGTCTTTGGGCATTCATTGGTTCCTCCTGAATAATATATATAAGCACTTAATATTCATTTATTGTAATTTTTCTCTCTTTCTAGTAACATGGTGTTCGATTTAATTCGAGCGTATTTCGATTATTTATGGAATTATTATTTTTGTTTCCTTCTTGGAAAGTTTTTTTTAAATTTTTTTTTAATGATTAGAGAAAATATTTGAAAAAAAATAATTCAACCAACTAAATATGGAAAAATTAAAAGAGATGCATTTTTGGACGTCCTTATTGTAATATTTTTCATAACAATGGTGTAGAAAAAAATTATTTAGTATTTTTGTCTTTGTTGAAATTTGAATCACGATCAAATGTAATCTTTACAAGTTTTATTAGCTGATGCCTGATAGGTCACAAGGTTGGGTGTGAGTACTTTTTTTTAATTGATAAATAAAGAAGACTTATATATATATATATATATATATATATATATATATATATATATATATATGTTGAGACTTGCATAGTTTAATGTTGCACCAAAAGATTAAATTGAACAGTTTTTTTTTTCTTCCTAGGGTAGTTTACATACCTTAATGTAGTGCCTGCTGAAGCAAGACAGTCCAACTATTGATTACATACAAGTTGAGCATGAGTGTTGTGGTGGGATGAATAAGATTTCTTTATTTTTAATTACAAGTCTCGCGTTCAAGTCCTAAGATTTGAAAAAAAATCTTGTTATGAAGTGTGTCTCCTTAAACGAGTCTTACTTACGTGGCGTAATCTAAATTAATCAGAGGTCAGCATGAACATCGAACACGAAAACAATAACTAACATACAAGTTGAGCAAGGAGTACAATTGTCTAATTAGAAGGTTCACGGGCGTGTGATAATGACATACAAATTATGTAAATTATTGTATTTTGGTCATTAGTAACTCCTATCATTTGTTAATTACTTAATTGGCCTAACCATCGATCTATTCACTATATGTACTTAATGAACTAGAACAATGTAAATTATGCAGTTTTAGACAAAGCATGAGTGAAATATCAAATACTCCATACACTTATATTTAGGGATCTTAATTAATTAACATTAATTAAATTACAGGGGATTGTTGGAGCTGAAATGGATAAAAAACTAAAGGTGTGATTAATATTATTAATTAGGTAGATGAGATGAGAGTTTTTTGCTTGCATTTAAAGTGACATTTGTTGAAATATTAGGAGAAAATAGAAGCTTTTTATGGTGCACCTTCCTTAATAATCCATGATTGTTTGTTCAAATTAAGCTTTGTGATAACCACTTTTCACCTTAATTATTCCTTTATATATATATATATATAGCATAATTTCTTTTTTACACATTAATTATTAATTTAAAAAGCAAAGTGAATTTGAGTGGTTGAAGTTTGTTTGGTAAGAGAAAAGGTTTCCATATGCATAAATGAACAAAAATTATAAATAAGGAAATAAATAAATATAAATAAATTCAAGTAAAATATATATAATTCCACAATTCTAATAACATACAAAAATAATTTTATCGTTGTTACTTGTCATAAGGCGTATTTCAGATGTGTTGGTAGTATATATAACTAGAAATAATTAGCTAAATAAATGGATATCATTGGGTTGTTCTTTGTTATACTCTTGTTTTATTTTTCTCTCTGGTATGATTCCTAATTAAGAAAAAATAAATTAACTGTCAAATAGTACTAATTATTAATTATTAATATATTTATCAACGTGACATACCATTTTTTAGTTATTAGATAATATATGCAAAAGTAATCCTAATATATATGCTAATTATTTTTTAAATTATAGTAATTAAAGGAATAATCAAAAGTCTAATCCTATCAAAAAATTCAACATTCTTTTATTTTCGATAACTATTATTTATCATTGAGTCCTCCCTGCCTTTGCATCAATGACCTTAGGGGTCATTTGGTGTGATGGATAAGGGGAGTTAATCTCAGGATAAATTTTAAGTATCCTTTATTTCGTTGTTTGGTTGCAAAACTTGGGATAATTTATTCCAGGATTATGAATTAGTACCGGGATAAGTTATCCCTCACATTGGGTGGTATAGTAATTCCGGAATAACTTATCCTAGGTTAAAATAGGTAAATGATAAATATATCCCTTTAAATCCTTTTTATACATCATTTTCACATCTATGTATATTTACATTATTTTTAATACCATGCATAATAATATTTACTACTCCTTAATTTTATGATAATTATACATATTTTTCTATTTTAAAATTACACTATATAAATATAATTTTATTTATGAATTTATTTGACTAATTCTTATGTTTATTTTATTTTGATTTCTCATAAATTTTCTTCTCTTTAACAAACTTAAGAGGGAAGTTCTATTTTTAAGCTAAATAAGAAAAAAAGTTATATTATTAAATACACATGGTACTTATCACGGGGATACATAAACAAAAATATTTAAGTTAAATGAAATAAAAGTTTTATTTTAAAAAATCAATAACTAAAGCTCGCAAAGAAAAATTTAAAAAGTTTAAATAAAGCGAAGGGTAATTTTGTAAACAAACAACTTGTTCTTAAAATTTATCAATATATATTATTTTGAATACAACAAACCAAACGCTCAATAAAAAATAATCTCAGGACAACTTATCCCATCATAACTAATCTCAATATAACTTATCTCATCATAACTTATCCCATCATAACTCATATTCAAACCAACTTGTAGCGGCAATAAATATTGACATTAATAAAGAGTGTTAAAGTCTTTACTGACATTAGTTAAGTGTCATTAGAACCGATGTCGCTAAAGGCTTTAGGGACATATACAAGAGTGTTAATTGCCGCTAAAAATACATATTTAGCAATAATTAAAAATTAATTGCCGCTAATGATAATTTTTTATGTAGTGTGGGTTCACATGAACCCACTCTCATTACAATAGATTATGTAATTATATTAAAAATTATATTAAGACTTACAAGTATCTTTTGATGAAAATTCATAACTAAACGGGTGGTTGATCCCACGACAAGAAAAGGACCCCTAAAGCGCTTTGTTTAAGTGTATTTTTATACGATTATTATTATATATTAGTAAAAATTCACAAGTTTAAAATTCTAAATTCGCCTCAGAATTAACCTTCATTCAAAAATGATAAAATAGAGAATATTGGACAATAATAGGGCAGGCTTCTCTAATTGGATGAAGCAGTATTTGCCCTTTTAGTTTGCCAAATATCCTACAATGATGAGTTAAATTATTTATGAAACAATTGTACTAGTATTTTAAGACAATATATATGACTAAAAAGACAATTATGATTTTATTTTAATTTTGGTTCATATTTGGTCCCCCTGTGAGCTAGTTCGACTGTTGAATGCAATTCTTTTTAATAATATAAAAAGAAAATGCAATTCTGACTTTTATTTGGTTCCAATTTCTGGTAAACTTATTACCACATTTTTTTGTTCAAATATTCTTTTATATAAAAAGAAGATATTCGAAAATATTGAGCTATGAATAACAAGGAAACATACCATATACAAGTTTGGAAGTTCCATCAATTACGAATTTAACTTTTGAATTGATTAATTATCCATAATTAACTGCAATCTATATGGTAGAATTATATAAAATTAAAAGAGATATATATTGTTCTTTTAGGTCTTCTATCATCATAAGAATAATTTTTTGGTTTTGTGAAATTCACGTAGCTTCTTGTTGTTAATACTTGAGATAATCAGGTTTGTTACTTGTTCATCCTCCTAATATTTTTTTCACATGAATTTTGTTTCTATTTATTTTGGAGAAAAAAAAACTGGTTTAAATCCTTATATGAAAACATGATTATTATTTTTTTCAAGTAATTAGTACTTAGAAATTAGTTGATTTCGAAATAGTATGTTATTATGTGTTTCCAGATAATTAGAAATTAGTCGATTTCGTTTAGAATAATACTTGTTTATTTGTAGCCAAGATTTAAAAGTTTTTTTAGTGAAAAAATAAGTTTGTGAATCTTTATTTTTTGGGGCTACTTAATTATACAAAACGTATATAATTGACAATAATTAAACTGGGGTAGATTAACGATCTGATAATGTGTTTATTGTAATTTGTAAGTTGATGATACTATCATGATTACAGTCAGTTGTTTAATTTTTTCGTCAACAAAGTAATTAATTTTAAGTTGATTTTTTATCTACTAACTACTTGTAATTAAGGTTGAACGTTATAGATGCATTTACATTTAGTTTGGTGTTTGACAAAAGTATCTTGTGATAATCTAGAGATTGGAATTCGTTTTTGATATTAAATTTTTTTGATAATCCTAAATGAAGACAAATAGTTTAAATGGATATATAAACACTTGTCTTGAGACTGAGAAATAAGTATTTTTATATATGAGGTTATGAAGGAGACGATGAAGATAACTTTATAGCATATATTAGTAGAGATTTGAGAGTTGTCTAGGATTATTTTTTCGTTGAGAAAGGTGGTAGGCCGACTTTGAATGTTTTAACTTGATCACTGAAGAAGGTGACGGTTGGGCGAAACTTCAATTTATGTTACTACATATTATTTCTTATACTTCAATTATAGTATTATTATATGTTGTAGTTTATTTTTCTTTCCAAAATGCTTTATCATGCTATTTTTAGTATTTTGTCATCACTTTTGTTCTACTTTGATATACTTGTCTTTGATCTGAGTTTCTATGAGAGGTAAGATCTGCGTACACACTACTCTTTTTAGAATACTCAACTTGTGAAATTGTACTCGATATGTTATTGTTGTTCATGGAGTCATGGTTAATATTATTACTTTCATTTTCTGATCTTTGTATCTGAACAATTAACTTTTGAAATCAATCTCTAATATTTTCACAATTTTTTTTTAAAAAATATTTTTTTATTTTTTTTTTCAGGATTTATGGAAGACGAAACGAACTTAATATCAAGCACGACCAACGTAACGGTTGGTGATTGTGATTCAAGTGCAAGCAATCATCTATTACCGAAAAAGCGAAACATTAATGCACGTGAGGGAAAAGCTTGCATTTCAGGTTCAAAATTCAAAGGTGTTGTAGGGCAAAATAATGGTCATTGGGGAGCTCAAATATATGCAAATCATCAAAGAATTTGGCTTGGTACTTTCAAAACTGAAACTGAAGCAGCAATGGCTTATGATAGTGCTGCTATTAGACTTCTTGGACCAGATCATTCACATAGAAATTTGTCTTGGACAAATTCCACAATTCAAGAACCTAATTTTCAGACACAATTTTCAACTGAAGATATTCTAAGAATGATCAAAGAAGGTTCTTATACTTCAAGGTTTGATGAGTATTTGAAAGAGAAATTTGAAGATCATTTTCAATCTTTGAAAACCTTACAAAAAGTGAATGAGGTAAGAAAACAATATTGTACTATGCAAGTAGAAAAAAAAATATCTTTGAATTTATATACATATATGGTACTTTTTAGGCTATCATGTCATCATATTAGATAAAGATTATGGAGGATACGGATCAGAATAAAAGGTTAGTTAAGTAGAGTTACCTCACTTAGCCTTTTATATTGATAGTTGTAGTATTACTCTGAGAGTTTCTTATTATTCTATTTCTATCACTATTTACTATTTCTAGCACTTAGATTATCGTATTACTTTGTGATAGTACTTGTTCCATTTTTAGTATATTTTGTCTTGTTTTCTTTAGCTTCTTTGTCTTGACTTCTTCGCTCTTCTGTTTCTTTTTCTGATCTGCTTTGTAACCTTGAGTTGGGTTCTATTGAAAATAATTCTTCTACCTTGTAGGGTAAGGTAAGTGTACACATTGGTTTTCGAACCCTATTTATGAAATTACATTGGATATACATGTTATTACTGTTGCATGTCACTCTAGAGATATTTTTTGGTAACATTCCACATGAAGTTCAAAAATTCGTAAGAGTTTAAATTATATACACATCAGTGTAAAAGATTTTGTATATTATCAGATCACCTACAAGAATATCTAAAGAATACAAGTAAGCCTTCTTAAAATATGAAATTCTATAATTCATAAAATTAGCATGCTATAACATATAAAGATGTATACATACCTTATAACTTAATCTACAATCTAGAAATAAGGCAAATAACTTGATAGCTAGATATTTTTAACCTCTTGGTGTAAATAGGTCTAATGCATGTACATATTGTTGAATACTCTTAATGTAGCTTTATAGGTATAACATTTTGTGTTATTTTTTTTTTACTCCTCTTGTTAGATTTCATGATTTCAATATTACTTATAGGGTAATGCTGAATTCTCCTACAAACAGCTTTTTCAAAAAGAGCTAACTCCAAGTGACGTTGGAAAGCTTAATAGGCTTGTGATTCCAAAGAAATATGCAACAAAGTATTTTCCCCAAATCCAAGACGAGGAGATGATCTTTTATGATACCTCAAGGAGATTATGGAAGTTCAGGTATTGTTATTGGAAAAGTAGTCAAAGTTTTGTTTTCACAAAAGGTTGGAATAAGTTTGTGAAAGATAAAGGTCTACGAGCAAAAGATACAATCGTTTTCAACTTGTGTGAATTCAAGAATGGAACAAAAGAGGATTGCAATGCCTTTGTAATTGATGTGGTGAAGAATATTGATGGTATGCCAATGAATTTAACACTCAATCATCATGAACAAGAAGAAACTATTGATGATCATGAAGTGGACACCCAAGAATTCACAAAGGCACAACCATTTGATGATGATGATGATGCTTTGGTACCAGTTTGGCTTTTTGGGAAGCAAATAGGTTGGATTGAGACAAAAGGAGCAATGGAGTTTAATTAATGTTCATCGACAACGTAAATAATTTTTATCAGCTAGGTATTTGAATCGACATTTAAGCCCAAAGGTAAATCCAACTGGAACGGTTTCACTCTCTATAAAGTAACATGTAGGACAAAAAGTCGAAGTACCCCTTATGACTCTACTATATAATCATGTTATTTTTTCTTGTTGTATCAAGTACTTGTTCTATTTTTAAGAAACAAATCTCACTTTTTTAGAGAGATTATTGCTTGATATTAATTTTCTTTTAATCTCATAGTGAATTTTTTTAATCTAATATTATTTGTGTATATAAGTTAAATTTAAGCCATAAAAAAAACTCATTTATTTTTCAAAACAATGTTTTCTTAGGAAAAGTTTTCCATGGAAAACATTAATGTCATAGTTGGGTAGTGACAATTGCCTTTTGTGGGAGGTAATGAGTTTTAAAAGCATTAATTATTTTGTCTTGTATGACTTGTTACTGAATATAATATTAGACTTATAGTGACATTAAAAAAATGCTTTAATCATGCATGTGGTGACTGGTGATCATAGAAAAGAACCTTTAAGTTGATGTACACTTTCTCCAGCTAAATAAATGAGAAATTATTGGGTGATTTGCGTAAAAGGATAGTATTTTTTTGTGTTGGTAATTTGATTTTATTTCCATTTCTGATATTTGTGTAGAAATTTGTTTTTGCAAGTCTAATTAAAAAAAGAGTAGTGCTAAATGGCAAGACACTTTTTTGGCATGAATTGGCAAGACACGGCGAAATGACCAAATAGCCCTTAGGTGACAAAACTACTTGTGGTTTTCCCTCCAAAATAGAAAACCACTCTTTGACTTTTTCTTTCTTATTTTCTCTCTCTCTTACGTTACTCTTTTTTTTTTCTTTACTTCACTCATTAGTTTTATTTTATTTTGTTGACATGTACCATAACTAATTATATTATCCGATTATTGATTATGCTTCTATAATCGCATTCAACTGACTTGTATTTGTGAGAGAGCATAACTCATATAATACTATATCTATTACATTTATTTCATCATAATGATTCGACTTATAATAGTGAAAAATCTTCAATTTTTGTGAAACAATTCAAATATAAACTTTTACAATCATATTTACCAAAGTAATATAAAATTAAAAATTATTTAAGTACTAATAGACATTGATTTTTTAGGATAAATTTTTACATTCTATTATTTTATTAATAAATGGTCCGTAATGATTTTACGTATAACCCTCTTCAAAACTGAAAAAAAATAATTGTTCTCTTTGTTAGTATTCATGTGATTCTCTTTATAATAATAAAATTTTATTGCATTTACTTCGTAATTTAATTTATAGTTTTATTTTGATATTGTTGATAGTGCTTTTTCTTGTTGATATGACTCGTAATTTTATTGATTATTTTTATTTAAATCAAATATTAACAAGACATCTTAATATATCGTCGTTAAATAATAAAATCATTGGAAATAATTTATCATATTTCTTTAAAATGATTAAATTCTTAGATAATGCATAATTTGTTTTTTTTGAAGGATCCTATATAGATGTACCCTATAAAAATTTTATAGTATCGTATATGTTTGAGAAGTCCACAAAAATTAAATAGCAAGAAAAATAAAAAAGGTTAAAGTGATGAAAAATTTCACCTAGCTTGAATTTCAAGAATAAAATATCATATAAATTAACGGAAAGAATATGTATTTATATAGGTATTTATGGATGCTTTCCGTTTTTTTAATTTCATGAAATTAGTATAAAAACTTATGTAATTTAAAATTTATAAATTTTATTTACACTTACAAAAAGAAAAAAATGTTATAATAAAAAAAATTGTAATTAATTATATTTTGTAAATTAACAAATCATTTTATCTAACTATTTTTAGTAATATAAATAATTAATTTTAAAATGTTAGAAATTGAATGAATATTTTCTTTTTGGATTTCATATTTTTATATTTTCCATGAATAAAATTATACAAGTATGGAAGTAGAGAAATTTGAAACATTAATTTGAAAAGAAAAGTCAATGAAAAAGAAGTAAAAACAAAGTAGGAAAGAGGAAAAATAATATATATTGTGCTCCGTGCTGGCACGGGGTCCTATATCTAGTATATATATATGACAAATCAATAATAACAATAACGATAATATAGTTCATACTAATCCAATTATCTTGAACATGTAATAATTATGTCGGAGATGTCAAATTTCTTCATCACTGCTACATCCATAGCAATGCTCTTCTTCTTCATCCTCTGCACTATCCCATTCTTGCGAACAAGAGGAACATGCTTAATAGTGCAACAACGCGGTAGTTTATTATAGTCCACTAAATCAAATAACTGAAAAAAATAGGATAAAATATCTTTAAATCTATGTTGATACTGCCTTGTTATCGCTCTTTGTTTTTGAGTGACTTTCATTTCGCCAATTGTCTTTAACCCCTCGCGGCTATATTTACCGCCTATATTCAAGTCAAATGGTCAAACTTGCACATTCTTGTCAACTACAATATATAGAAGATTGATATATTTGAACAAAGGTAGTTTAATCAACTCGGATTTGTCGTTGATTTATTATTCCAAATTAAAATTATGAACGAAAAGGAAACAAAAAAACACTTTTTAAAATGACAATGTATGGAGACCCAAATTTGGTAGAAATAGAAGTAAACCTTACCCAAAAAAAAATGAAAAAACTCAATAAAGTATGAAATTAAAGTGATATGTTAGAAAAAAAATAAAAATAATATATATATATATATATATCATTTATTTGAGGGAAAATTAAAGTGATATGTTAGAATTTTTTTAATTTTTCTTGGATGAATTCAAAGAAATTGAAGATAGTGAAATTAAAAAAATAAATTGAACTCTCACCAATAAAGTAAAAAATCACTCAATTATTTTAACTATTTAAATTTTAGTCAAAAATTTATTTTTTGAGATTTCAATTTTAATCACTCAATTTTTAATTGCCAAATATATTTTTATTTTTATTTATTCTATTACCACTTAATGTTTTTAATGTTTAATATTAATACAAATTTTCGTTCTTCATCTTTTTTCAATGCAAAAATCCATTTTTCATTTTATCTTTGCATCTTCTAAAGCTTTTTTTTTTTTAGTTCTACCTCTCAGTGTAAAAAACATTTATTCATACTACTATTATTTTGTGCTTTTACAAATTTATTTGGTTAACTTTTTTTTATTATTAATTTTATCTTTGTAACTAAACAAATAATTTTATATAACTATTTTTAATAATATAAATAATCAATATCGAGATAAAAAATAATATCAAAATGTTAGAAATAGAATGAGTCCGGCAAATTTTTTTGGATTTCATATTTTTCATGAATAAAGTTATTTAAGTGGAAGTATAAAATTTGGAAGAATTGATAGAAAAGAAACTGAAGTAAAAAAAGTAAGAAAGAGAAAAAGAAAACGTTAAAAGGTAAAGAGAGAAAGATGTTTGGCCATTTGAAATGGATCCACTTGGCAAAATATAAATGGGCCTTATACAATTTTTATCTGTCACATCATATTTGTGCCTCATGGATATTTCAAAAGTTGTGGTTTTAAAAGTATTACAAGTGGTTTTACTTTTGAGGGTAATTTAGGTATACGAAATAATTGAATTTACCTAAACACCCTTAACTTTTCACCGAAATTACGAAAATACTCTGACTTTTGTTGCTCGTGTCATTTCGTGTCAAAAATCTGTCTTGCCAATTATATTTTCCGTTAAAAAAAATTGTCTGAAAATATGTACATTGTGAATACCAAGACAAATTGATGGGATAGCTTGTAGGCTTCATCTAATTGTCATGATTACAAATATTACTTCATCTCATAAATAATGGTCTGAGGAGGATAAAATATACTCAATTTTACCACTATCTCGTAGAGGTAGAAAAATTGTTTTCGAAAAACCTTCGACTCAAGTGTATCAAATACAAGTAGAAGAAGAAGAATACAATGGAGAAAGCATAAGAACCAAAATAGTAACAACAAAAATAATGTGATAATCGAAACGCAATAAACAACACATGACAAGATTTATAAGGACACAACTAATCCTACGACAAACACTAACCTTCTACACAATACTCTATCCCTCGATTCCCTTCTAGCCTTATATTCTAATACATAACCTCCACTTCTCTTATCTAATACATCAGTTCATCTATAATTAATTCTTAAATTATTAATAAATGTATAACTCTAATCAACTGCCAAACGACTCCTTCCGATTGAGATCAATAAAACCAAAAAAATATTATAAATATAAAACATTAATGGAGATGTGTAATAAATTTTACAGAAGGAGAAACGTACGTACAGACTAAAATCATGAGAGAAGCTGATACGCCAAAAGCGGACTGTGTCCATCAACGTGTCAGTTTTGACAGCTCAGATTACCTGTGGCCCTACTTTACTTTTTTTTCCAACTCACACTTTTAACGCCAACAGTTCCAAATGACTATAGGACACGTGGCATAAGATCATTTCCGGACACGTCGAGTTCTTTTAACTTTCTAGTCTCTCCAGACTCTTCCTGTCCTATTTCACGTGATACTGTTTGATTTGACACAATATTTATGTATAGGTATAAATGGTTTTATCAAGGTTAAAAGAGAAATTTTAAAGTTAAATTATTTCAAATTATAATAAGATGATTTTTTTTCAACACCGACTAAGAAAAAGAAAGGGCGTCACACCTATTACAATGGTTGGAATAGTGTTTTAGGTTTTCTGCTACTCCCTCCGTTCTTATTTATCTGTCATTAGATGTTTCTTAATATTTGTCAATTCACAAAATCAATGTATAAATAACACTATTCTTTTTATTTTACCTTTGAGAGTTATTAACCTTGATTATTGAAAATATATATTTGATCAACATGAGAAAACTAAATGATTAATTTATGTTAATTGGTCAATTTATTTAATCAAAATAAATTAATTTATGTTCATTTATCGAGAATTTGACTTCAAAAAATTATTACTATATAAAAGTACAATAGTGAACTTACCTAGTTTTTTAAGGGACGTGACATTGAAAATGGTAACATATAAATAGAAACGGAGGGTGTACATTGTAATTTATTTTATATTATTTATTTTTATAATAAGTTAAAAATCATTTTATATTCAAAATAACTCATCATTAATTGAATCCTTAGTTATTGATTGATTTTTATATTCAAAATAACTCATCATTAATTGAATACTTAGTTATTGATTACTATTTAGTTCAATTATAAATGATACAGTAACTTTTCTCAAAAGTAATCTATCGACTATTTAACTTTTTATATTTCCTCAAACCAAACGGATACCCTTATATTTACAAAAACACAAACGCTAATCGTGCTTAATCGTGCTTGATATAGCTTTCGTTTGATCATAAATTTTAAAACTCAAAAATAAGTTTGGATGTGCATTTCACTTAAAAAAACTTTTGAATTTTAATTAGTAAAAGTGAATTACACTAAAAATAAATTTAATATTAATTTTTGAAATTTAAAATTTTCAAAATCTATAATTAAACTCTAGCTCACCGTATATTAAAAAAAAAACTACTAATATTAGTAAATATTCTTCACAGCGCCAGATGAGACAAAATGGAGATGTACTGTGCAACCTGGACAGTATAGCCCTTCAGGCCTGCATGATAGTATAAACTACCCACACTTCTCAGTCTTTCGCTATTCCTTCTCCATTTTCCCCAAAACTTAAGCCCCATTTTTTTTTCAATTGCTTCTCTGTGAAGCTTTCCGGTATCCATTTTCTGCAAATCGCCATTTGCCGCTAGCTTCAACGGAAGATAAAAATGTAAAGTCTCATAAATCAAAGATTTCTTTCACATATATGTATATATACAACAAAAAATTTCATATACATCGATCTCATTTTCCATGCATACGTGTAGTAAACATCCATATAGACTCAAGTCAAATCATCAGTCAAAATCTCTTCTTTTTCCCGTTTTCCGGCTTAAATTCCGTTCATTTTGCTTCATTGATGTTTAATTCCTTCCATTTTCGTTATATGTGTGTATGTTCGTGTTAATTTTTTTTTGTTTTGTATAGGAAGAACTGAAAAACTGAGATGATTTCACTTTGTTTAAGGTTGATCAAGTTTTACTAGTATTTGTTTTTGTTATGTGGCAGGTCGAGTAAAAGGCAGTGTGAAGATTTTTCAGCTGAAACGCCGAGAAGGAAGTCATCTAGGGTTTTAAGAATCCAAGTTGATTCAGATGAAGAAGTGGGTACTAATGAAGGAAGAGTTTTTTATTTTCGGGTTCTGTTGCCTAATGGAATAACTTTAGAGTTGCAAGTACCTGGACCACCTGGTGAAATGCCTGTTGAGGATTTTGTTATTTTAGTGAGGCGAGAATACCAAAATCTTGGGCGAAGAACAGAGTCACCTAAGCCTAAAAGACAGATTAATTGGACTAGCAAGGATTTGCATTTTGTAGATGCTTTTGAGAACAGGATAACGAAGATGTTGGATTTCAGAAAGTTTAAATCCAACCAGTCTCATATGATAAGGCTCTGTGTATGTAAAATCTTCAGTGTTTTTGATTTCTCAATTGTTTTGTTAGTAAGTTTTCCCATTTGTTGTTTTGTTTTAACTTGCATTTTCTATACAGGATGGTTCAGCTGAAGCAGATAAATATGAGGTTGGTGGAATGCTATTCAAGAATATATGTTGTGTTAAGAATTTATGTAGCTGAGTGTACGCTTTCACTTTGCAGAATATGTGGGACCTTACACCAGATACTGATTTGTTGAAGGAACTGCCTGAAGAGTATACATTTGAAACTGCACTGGCGGATTTGATCGTAAGCATCTTTTGCGTATAACTATTATTTTTCTGATTAATTGTATAACTTTCTCTATTTATGTGGATCATTTTAAGCATTAACTTCATTTCAATGGTGTATCAGGATAATTCATTGCAGGCAGTATGGTCTAAGTCTACAGACCAGAGAAGATTAATAAGGTAAGGAATTCGTAGTTGGATAGCTCAAGAAAGCCTATAATCAATTCAAATTCTTAAATTGCAAGTTATTAAAGTCCTGAGATGGTGTATATTCGCTAAAGACTAATTTCTTTTTTCGAAAGATGCCAAAATATACTTGTTTTTTAAAAACAAAAAAAGAGTCATGATTGTATTGCCACGGTCAAAGAGGATACAGAGGAAGAAAGGACTAGGCCTGGCCTTCTTCAGTACATATTGTATGTGTTAGCCTTTTAGGCTAATAAGCAAAAGATTGGGCGGACACAAGTGGCAATAGAGTTGTTTCTTCATGGCGGATCAAAGATGATAGCACCATGGTTTCTCTTCCTGACTCTAAAAGATGGTATTTTCCATCTGTCGATGTTAACTAGGCCTATGATTTGTCTAGGTAAGGAGCTATACGTAGTGTAGATACAATTGTTTCCACTCTTGTGACTCAGGGACGCTAGCTTGTCAGCAACCTTGTTAGCTTCCCTCATGCAGTGAGTGGTATGGATATGGTGAGTGTCCAGCAAAAACTTGATCTTACTAATTGTGTCTTCAATCTTCCAAGGGCTTTGCCAGTTGCCCTGAATACAACTCTGAAGAAAGAGGGAATCAGTTTCCCCTATGATCCTAGGGTGACCATTTTGAATGCACCAGTTAAGACCAAACAAGAATACATTGGCTTCTACCCAGTTGCTATTGCCTCTCCCAAAGGTAGACAAAACGCCATAATCACTTGCCTTCTTTGTCTTTCACTACCCCTCCGCAATTTCCTTCTATGCATGAACCATCAGTATTAAGTTTGACAAAAGGATGTAGGAGTTTTTCTCATTTGACAGTAGTAGAGATGATCTCCATCAGTTTAAGACCCAAGAGGTGAATAAAGCTGCTGGGCCAATCATAGGGAAGGAAATTTTAGGGAACTGTAGTTTGGAGTGTTGGATGATACTGAGGTTGATCAAAATGATAGATTTATGCATCGAGAGTTTTTCATCTTCATACTTGACTCCCCATCTGGATCTCCACAGTTCCCACATAATAATAGGGGGCATTATCTTAGTGGTTTACGAAGCTATGGAGTTCTTGCATTTATATTTCCAGAAGGAGTAGAGAAGGCTCCTCAGTGATGTTGTCCTAGGGTTGATGCCTAGACCTCTTGCATAGAAGCTCCAAATCTGTTCAGCAAAGTATCCAGAGAAGAAAATGTGCTCAGCCGATTCTCCTGTTGCTCTTCTATTGGTGCCTGCACAACAACAACAAATGGAAACAATGTTAATTCCAAGTCTTGCTATTTTGTCTTCAGTTGGAAGTTTGTTATTGATGGCTCTCCAAGTCAGGAAATTTAATTTAAAAAAGACTTTGGGAAGCCATATTTTTGAGTTAAATTGAGAAATAGGATTTTTCTCCCTGATGCCAAAATATACTCGAGGGTATTCATGTATATTTTTCATTAGGGGAATGATTGTCAAGTTTTCTCTTAAAATGGCGATCCCGACATGCAGAAATAAACTCTTTTCTTTAATGTGTCATCTTGTTTGCGTCCCGATCTTTTGAAAGTGAATTAAGTACACGTCAATCTTTCCTGAAATTGATTAATTTATTTCCCCAAGAAACTTTGAACTCACTTTTCTGATCATTTTATACCTTGTAAGTGTGCCTTGTCAACAATATCCATTCTCTCTTGGGATATTACCTGTACAGGATGCTTCCAATTTTTCTTATTCAATTCAGTTCATGCTTCATTTAACTTCTTAACTAAATGACCCTTTTGTTTTTTAGAATAACAATGAATTCCAAGGATGTATAATTGAATATTTGGAAAGTTAGACACTTGCCTCTTTTTTGTCTCTCTTTAGTTAAATTTATTCTTATAGTGCAGGTATATTCTTATAGTGTTCTGCATGTACTCACATTTATTTGTTTGACCTGCTGTTGACAGTAGTTGCTTAGCTCGGCTATTCTAGTTATTTGTAATCCTACAACTTAGTAAGATTGGATATCCTGTTATTGCTCCTGTTTGGTCCTACTTCCTTTCTTTTTACCTGCTTTCACTTGTGTAATAAAGTGTTGTATCGAATGGCACCTACGGCTGTTTCTTTGTATTTATCTGTAGCTCGTGTTTCATACTCCCCTGAAACTGTCCACTATATCTCTTATTTTGCAGTCTAGAGCTAACTAAGAGCAGGATTACAATATTTGACACAGGCCTTGGAATGGATGGAAGTGCTGAAAACTCTATAGTGAAATGGTAATTTCTTTTCTCTGTTATAACTGGGATCTTGTTAGTTATCAAAATTATTAAAGCATCAGTGAACTTAAGAGCTACATTATGATGATATCATCTTATGGGTTGCATAAGCGTTTCCTCTTGAGGTTGGCACTAAAATACTAGAAATCTGTCTAATTTGGTGTCTTGGATGGTTCAAGTTTTAAGTTATATGGATGAACATCTATTCCTCTGAATGGCCTCAATTTCTCTCTTCTTCAACTGTTTTAGATCATTGCTTATGATGCCTTACGATCTCTCTCATATATTGATAGATTGTTTTGCTTTCATATGTCGTACTTTTAATAATAACTTCAGAAAAATCAGGCCTGTTTTTGATTCTGCTATTTGCATTATGTTAGGTCTATCTGCACTTACTAAAAAAAGTTCATGTTGGGTATATTTGTTATGATGCTTATCATTTTGTTTTGAAAGAACTTGTCGTGAATTGAGGGAACACAACTGGTTATAGATATGAGCTTAATGACAATCTTTCTTTTTTGTTTTGAAAAAAGGATATCAAAAGAAATTGTGACTTCTTTGACAATGCGATGAGAGATGTAAACACTTCTGTAGCACTCAAGAACTCCAGAAAGGGATTGATACCATGTATCCCAAGTTTGTATTGGCTGCAAATCCGATAAATAGATCTGAAAAGTTGGTGCAGTGAAAAGCTGCATGTATTTTATTAATTTTCACCTTAACTGCAACTATTCAATTCTCTCTTTATTTCTATCTTAAAACCATCTTGGCAAAGTGATGTTGCTTTCTTAAATTACGTCGTAAGTTCTTCTACTGCTACTGTATTTTACTGCACTTTTGTGGTTTTCAATTACGTGTTGCTGTATGTGTTTCAGGGGAAAAATGGGAGCTTCTCTTCATAGATTATCGAGAGACAGAGGCATAGGAGGAAAACCTCCATACTTAACGGTTGTTGCATCATTCCAATACACAGTTTGCTTAGCTGTAGTCAAAAGATCTTTATTAGAAATACATTTCAAATATGCAGCACTAGATATTTATTTTCTGCGGCTTTTGTTGAGTTTTTAAATCTCTATGCTAGAAACCGTTCCAGCCTGAACTTAGAGACAAGCAGTTACATATCAATGAACTCATGTTTGATTTTGGTCTTGTCATTCCCCTGCAATTTGGCACTGTGAAGTATCCTGTATGTTATCTCATGAATGTTTTGAACAAAAATGAATAAAGTAACAGGAGATAATATCGATTTTGAATTGGATTCAGAAAACCTTGAATGATCAATGAATATGTTCATTTTTTACCATTAGGTATAGTGTCTTCAAATTCTTTGTTTTCCAAGACTGGCTTTCCCTTGATCAATAGGACGGGTATTTATACAAAAGATTGCACCAGTTTTGGCAAAAATCACATAATGACAATCACTGCTTAGGCTATATTAGTTCAGATATATTTATTGGAGTTTCTAGTTATTTCTAACGAAGAGCAGCCTCTACTTGAGGTTCCTTGGTGTTATTACGAGTCATCTGCTAATGAGTTATCAGTAGATACCTTTTTCAAATGCCACTTTGATATTAGTTTACTTTGCAATTGTGTTCATTGTAAAGCTTATATTACAATAGCTGTGAGAAATTCTCTGCAAATTTATATGTCAATTTGAAGGTGGTGAAATTAACCCATAGAAAACACTAGTCTTTGCATAATTCTGTTGCAAGTTTACCTATTGGAGGCAAAAACTGAATTCATAGTCACTAGCCATCAATAGTAGAAAGACATAAATTAATACTCTTTTATAGGGAGAAAGAAAAAGGCAACAAGATGATTACAAGTATTTAAATGGAATATATAACTATGCCCCTCGATATATCTTTGAAAACTTACCAACTTATACTAATTCTGTCTTCCTTTTTAGTCTCTTTTCTCTACAGATGCTCCTTCTCTCTTAATAGAAACCATGGCTGCTTTTACCTTATATAATGTGATTCTTAATTCATCCAACCAGCAAACTGGGAATCCAACAATATTTTGTTTCTATATCTAGCAGTTTCTTTATCCTCTAGGTTGTCTTTTGCTTATATGTTATCTGACATGGTGGTTGCTTTTACAGCCTTACTTTGGTATGTTTGGTTATGGAGGGCCTATTGCATCTATGCATTTAGGACGGTATGTCTTGCTAAAGTTTAGAATGACTTCATTTTAGACAAAAAGAAAGGACTTACTTGTTTTCATGCTGCCTTTTCTGTAGACGAGCCTCAGTTTCGTCAAAGACAAAGGAGTGTAAGAAAGTATTCGTGTTACATCTTGAGAGAGATTCTTTGCTCCGCTGTTCTTCATCTCAACAAACTTGGAGGGTACTCATCATTGTTTAATATTACTCTCTTCTTATCATTTGCTTCTTTTGCTAGTATAAGTTCTATCTCTCTATCTTATCTTCTTACGTTTATATATTCTTTCATTTAGACTGATGGAAATGTTAGAGACCCCTTGGAAGATGAACTAAGAGACTCAGTTGATGGTAGCTTCACTAAAGTAAAATATTCTTCTGGACTCTTGCTGATCTTTTGTTTATTAAAGTTCTTTAGTATCATCTTCCTACACAGTAGATTTATGATTGATATCCTAATAGATACTTTCTCTTGCAACCTGTATGGGTTCTTGATTGTGTTATGGTAGGTTGTATCCATATACCGAGCCTTTCTCAAGTCACTGAATAATCATACCTTTTATTAAATTGTTTTTTTATATGGGTTGTGATTGTGGTGTTGTCCAAATTATTTTTATGAATAACAAATGTCTATTACCGTTAAAGGTTTATGGTTTAGGGCTTTAGGCTTCTCTTAGCATTTTGATGTTTTAAATGCTTAGTTGTTTTGGTATATGATAATACTTCCATGAAATCAGTTTCAAACATGGTATGGAATTGTTAGTGAAAGTATAAATGATGAGCTTTGAACACAGTTGTTGCTAACGTTATTGACAGGTTGAAATTTTTTATCCAAAGATGAGAAGCGAAAGCATACAGAAACTACAATACAAACTGAAAGATATATACTTCCCGTATATACAGGTTAGTGGCTTATAGAGTTTTTCTGATAAGTTGGTTTAAGAGGTAGCAGCCCCTTGACCAATTCAGTTATTTACTTTCAAAGTTGATTCATAACATTGTGTGTGTGTGTGTGTATATATATATGGAGAATAGCAATTTTGTTTCTTTGTTATGGACTGAGTACTATTATCCATGTGGGGGTCCGGGTATTGTAATTTTGAAATTATTACTTGTTGCTTTAAGCATCATTTTTCGTTTCTTTTGCTTATTACCTATTCCATTTGTACTCCAACTTTTGTAATACCCCTTCGAACAGGCGTTGCTGTATTACACAGTTCACACTCCTTTTCTCTTATTTGGATTTTGCTCAGTGTATGCTACTACAAATTTCCTACTGTTAGTATATGAACTTTGCAGGTTTCGAATTTACTTGACCTTGTCAAACTTTGGTCTCTCTCCAACTGATTGGCACTGAGGAATAATAGTAGTTGTTATTGTTCAGACTTTCAGAATTCATTTCCAGAATTTAATGTCAAATAGTCATTGTATAACTATTATTTTAGTTAGATGACAATCATTAGAGCGCTGGAAGGTCACATAAAATGGTTTGTGGATCAACAAACATTGTAGCTGATGATGGTAGCATAGTCTGGTGCATGTGGTGATGTGATGATAATCTCTGCCTTTACATGATTTATCCTGTGCCATCTACCCTTTTGTATCTTATTCATTATTATTTCTTTGGGCAGTGTGATGAAGTATCAAAAACAGGAAAAACTGTGATGCCTATTGAGTTTCAGGTATAGTATCTATATTTATTTTATTTTTTAAAAGGGGTAGGGGAAGGGAAAATGGGGGAGAGGAGACACCAAGGTGGGGAATCGTACTCTCACCAACAATGTGAAAGTTTAGATAGCCAACCAACAGAGCTACTAAAATTTCCCAGGTACAGTGTCTATATGTTGTTGTAACCCAGGGATAATTTTATTAATCCCTGCAGTTGATGTCTTTGTAAAGGCAAACAGACGCCAGACACTTTTGTACACTTCAGGAACTCCTTTATATTTTTGGTGTTCTTGTTGGAAAACCAGGAACCAATCAGTATCAGATGATTAGTTGCTATTTGTTGAGAATCATCTTAAATCTCCCCTTGGACTTTAGTATACCTATTACATACATGATCTTCGCTTTTGTAGATGAAAAAGTATGAAAAGTCAGCATGTTACTTCCTGTGCCTGATTGCATCGAACTACGTCTCATCTTTAAAATTAATGTGGAGCTTCTTTTTCCTATAATTCATCACATCGAGTTCCTCAATGGATGTGTTTTTACACTCCTCAACTTAAACATCACCTTTTTCTGGCAATGTTAATGTCTATATCTTGTTGAGGGTTTCTTTTTCAGGTCTTTTCTGAAAGTTGAAAAATGAGCTGTAGTGTAAATGTCATCCAATGTGGAATTTATTTTTCATCATGACCTCTTATGTTGGCATGCCACATTATCATTTGGTATTTTGGTTGTGTGTTGATCTTGCATGTCGCGAACCAATCTTGTTACTTGTGAATTACGTTGGCCAAGTTCATCCTCTTCCTCAGTACCTGTTCTTTCCATTAGCTTACTGCTTTGTTCCTGATTTCGTCCATTATTCTGTGAGAAAGAAGAGAGTTTGAGAGAGAACCCAACTTGATTATTCCCTCAAGCTATTGATGTTTAAATAACTATGTGATACATGTTCTAAAAAGGAAAGGAAATCAATACCTAATTTCTTAAGGATCTTTTTCTGGTAAGAAATTCAATTCTGTCTGTTACATAATTAGTTGTCTAAGCAGATGTGGCATTTCCTAGTTGTTTTCTTTCAAACTGATGCTTGTAGCTGTTCTCTCTTTTTTAATATTCAATGCATTTCAATAAGAGTTGCCCTTGCTGTTCAATTCCTGGTCCTTTTTCATGCAGTCTTAGAGATAAGCTTTACTGATCATATAAATAGGAAAACGATCATTTGAGTGAGAATTTTCAGCTACTATTTATGTTTCTGTCATAACTTATGAATTGTTTGTTTTCTTATCACCACAAAATAAGTGGTATGCTGGTCAAATCTCTTGGAAATCTCAATCAGAGCTTCTTTTACCAATTTTTATTAAAGCAAATTCTAAAATTTTTGGGGAAATCTCAATCAGAGTACCCTTTGCCAATTATTGTTCTAGTAGACAATCTCTTTCTTTTTAAGCAGATTTTTCCGCTTATGCAAATTCGCAGGTCAATGGCACTAATTTAGCGGAAATTGAAGGTGGAGAGGTGGCAACCACAAACTTACTGTCCTGCAATGGTCCAGAGTTTGTAATGCAACTTAGCTTTCATGTAAAGGATAGCAATGGCTTGAAAGTTGGTTCAGGTAACATGTGCATCATTTGTCACGACAAACACCTGTCAAGTATTTTTGTCAAATCCTGTTATCATAGTGCATTACATAGTCTGAGATAAATTTTCTCAGGAACAAAATCTTCCTTCGAAGCACATGCTCGCCTGAGGTGTGTTTATTTTCCGATGGTGCAGGTAAAACTATATTGTATAGTTCTGTTATGTGTCATTGAACCTTGAAATTTCTTTTTGATGTCATACAGATACTACACTTTATAAGAAAAAGAAGAGCCTGCTCTTGAAACATTTTGAAGGATGTTGCATGCTTTTGATTGCAGGGTAAAGAGAGTATTGAGGTGATATTGGAAAAGCTAGAGGCAGATAGGTATGGAATTACCGAGAATTTTGAAACTTTCAGCCATGTTTCTGTCCGTCGGTTGGGTCGTCTACTTCCAGATGCTCGTTGGGTAAGATCAGAATCTTTCTGTTATTCATACTTTACAAATTATAATTCGCCAGTCTTGTATTCCGTCACTACACAGTCTGCCAAAGAATACCTTCATGATAATATTTCTCCAACTTTTGAAAGAAAGAACATGTGTGCCTATCTTTATGTCATTTACTAGAATCAGTGTATGTTGTGTTATTCTATATGAACTACTTGCCTTTGTCTTGTTGCCCAATCTTTAACTTTTTCTCCTTATTTTTATTATGCCCTCAAGCTTAAAAAATGTCAACTATATTTTCTGCTTTGTTTCTTTCAGTCTTGGCTTCCCTTTATGGAACCAAAGCTAAGAAAAAGTGATAGGGCTGAAGTCCTGAAGAGATGCTGCTTTAGAGTAAAATGCTTCATAGGTATAAAACTATTTGTACCAAACAAGTGCTCTCTTATTAATGAATAAGCAATTGCTTTGTCATTTTCCAAGCATCACAGAACAATATTCTGCTTGCAGAAACCGATGCTGGTTTCAACCCAACACCGTCAAAGGTACAAGACAACTTTCTTAAATGCATTTTGACGACTTGACTGAGGATTTAATTGCACGTGTACAAACAGAAACTCACTTCCTGGAATGCAAAATGAGAATATTTATATACATGTCTATATATCAAGGGAGGAACTAACTATGTGGAAAACAGTAGAAATACTTGTTCTGTAGACTAGAGAATTCAAAATATGCAAGTAATAGTTCCTTAGGAAGTCAAAATTTTTCTATTCCCAACATCTTTGGTCTGATTTTTTTAACACCACCAGAAACTATCAAGTTCATACTCAACATGCATTTGGTATTATTGCTCGTTCACCTACTTCTATTTATCTAGGACAACCTTGCGGACAACCATATATATTTTTTTATCTGATGAAATCTTCTGTATGCATTTTACCAGACTGACTTAGCACATCACCATCCTTGCACCATTGCATTAAGGAACTTTGGCAACAAGCCTTCAGATAAAGAGAATGGTAATGACTTATGGTTTGTTGTGCACTGTTGAAATGATATCCCACAATTATGCAATGAGGTTTCTTTCCTTTATGTTTCAAATCCTTTTTAGATGTTCTCATTGAGATAGCCAAAGATGGGAAGAAGTTGTCTCTCTTGCAATTGGAGAAGTTATATCAGGACTGGCTGTTTCAGATGCATGATCGCTATGACGAGGAGATTGACTGTGGAGAGGATCAACCTACTTTTGTAATTGGCCCTTCACACAAGAAAGAGCTTGGCGTTTCTGCAGATGGTATAGATTGAAAAACAAAATAGGGAACCTTATGATAAATTCTTACAACCTTATATAAGATTGTGATTCAGTTACAATTGATACTCATTGTTGTTTCCCTGTTTTTGTCTTTTAGTTCTGAGAATTCATAAGGCTTTCCAGAGGAAAGGCATAACTTGGAAAGCAGGGCAAAAGATTAAAATTTTGAAGGGAGCTTGTAGGGGTTTCCATAAGAACAACATTTTCGCCACATTGGAATTTATTATCCTTGAAGGATGGCAGGGGGACTCAGGCGGTAAGTTTTATATGGTTCATGAAGCTTGCCCTTTTGTATGCTTAATCCTGTGGGTTGGTAATTAGGACCTGTTTGGCCATAGATTTTCCAAGTAAAATTTGACAAATAGTGTTTGTCCATACTATTTGTCATTATTTGACAAATATTTTTGGCAAATAACCCAAATTCTCAATACTAGGAAAAACTAGTGTTTGGGCTAAATCTCATTATTTGGGAGCTTTTAAAAATTCAAATTCTACACCAAACTTTTATCTTTTACAAAATCATCCTCTACAGTAGTTGTTTGCGTTGTATTACATAATTTTCTACGTAAACACCAAAGCAGTGATGAAATGATGAACAATCGATTCAGGTGCTTCGTCCACTGCACGATATATGGAATGATGCTTATTGCACTTTTCGAACTACCACATTCCTTCAATGTCATGGACACTACTTGTTATTTGTTGCAATGAAGATCCAATAGATTTGTTGTGGAAGTGATGATGGGTTGTAAAACTTATGGGTATAAATCATATTTCTTAAAAAAAATGAAATATAAAATATTATGGCCAAACACATGGTGAAATTTCATCCAAATTTCACCCAAATAATATTTGTCAAAAATATTTGGAAATCTATGGCCAAACGCTAGCTTAGTTTCTACTGGTTCTATCTGTTGACATTGGCTTGGTGTTGTAACATTTTTCTCAATATGTTTCAGGGGAGGCTCGAATCATCTGCAGGTTTGCAATTCACTCCTTATATTTCATACCTGATACCACTACATTTCATGGTGTGTTTCCCTCCTTCAACCAGTGTTACCTTAAAAATTGTCTTTACCATGTCATTTACAGGCCATTACATGTCCCTGCTGAGAGTGGTTGTCGCCTCACATTTGATGAAGGATGTGCTTGCTTTGAAATCCGTGATTCAAAATCTTTGCCGATTAGTGTGATTGACGCTGGAAAGGTTATCATATTTTCTGTTGCTCAATTATGTTTCTCTTTCTCTCTCTCTCTCTTTCTTTCTCTCTACATATCTATCTTTCCTGAAGAATTAATGTCATCTTTTGCAGTGCTTAGCTGTTGATAATACAGAATGGGAGAACCAAATTTTGAAACACCAAGAGAAAACCACTCCATCATCAATTGATATATTGGATGCCGAGCAATGTCAGGAATTGGACATTAAGGGGGTTAGTTAACAAAACAGCTTGCTTCTTCTAACCACTTGTTTATTTTTCGTCCTTTTTTTTTTTAAAATCAAGGACTAATTTCATTAATAAAAGCTACAAACTCTTGTATATAAGATATATACCAACCAAAAAAGGAACCTACAAAAATAAATTGTTCTCTACAATAGACATCCAATCATTGTACAGATGGGAATCTCATGTATGCACCAAAAAAGAAATGAGGGCTATTATTCATGTACAATTCCTTCAAAATCTCTTCTATTTCTTTCTCTCCTCACTACCCACATGAAAGCTAATACGATGTCCCACTGAACAAAGCGTCCTTTATTGTCCCCAGCATAATCCATAGTTGTCCAACCCATCTAAGAATCATCCATTATAACCTTGAAGCAACCTGACAATGTAATCAAAGGTGATCCACATCCTCTCCCGATCTTTTGCACATAAAGTACCAACTGACATAGGTGATCCTCTGATTAGTTGCTAATTTTCTTTTATCGTACTCTATAGATTCGTTTACTACATCTACTTGGGATCCAAGTCAGATTATGTAGTCTTTTCACTTATCGAAATTAACCTGAACAGGTCTACAGGGTTTCATCTTATTCAGCCTGGTAGAAATTGTTGTGCGTGTGTATCAAGTGGAACATGTTTCTCCATTTCCTTCTAAGTTTCCTGTACTTAATGCTTTGAATATCTTCGAAATTGATCAAATTTCAGCTGTGTATGATCTTAGATTGTACCACATATTAATATGTTTTTATTGAATTGCTTCATTTGGTTGCAATGGCAGGCGCTACCTCAGGATGTTGATGCTGGACATGAACCTCCAGAGGAGATTACTGCAGTTGTTCGTCCAGCTTCTTTTAGTTCTGTTACTGCATCCAAAAATCTGGATCAGAAATACATCATGAAAGAAAATTTTGAGATGACTCTAGAGATAAAATTTAAAGCAGATGAGAATGAGAAAGAACGACATATTTACTCTGGGCAATTGAATCCTTCATCTCTTAAAGGATTTCATGGTTTATATATGTTCCCCCTGAAGAAGAAGTCACCAAATCTTTTTCAGAAAGCAGGCATTTATCTATTTCGATTTTCTCTTGTAAGTTATATGACCTGCATATCTCCATTTTAATATCTACGGAATAATGTATTTCACTTGATTTTCCTTGCGGTTGGATCTCTTCTTTTCAGATAGAAAGTCGTACAATTTCTGTAAAAGAAGTGCGCGTGAAAGCATTGTCTGAGGCTGCTAGTTGGGAACTTGTAAGTGATGGGAAGAGTACACACAGTGTAAGGTGGGGCACTCAAGTCTAAATGAACTTCTTATATAAGTTGTCCAAAATGAAAAAATGTCCATCACCGAGTCATAAGATTGTCATAGATACGTGAGATATCTTTGATGTTCTTTATTTTCATACAATTCTTAAGCTTGAAATTATAAGGAAACATCATCTGAAGGACAGAGAAAGTAATTAGTCACCCTGCATTAAATCAACAAAATATGCTATTTTCTGTAAACAGAGAAATGTCTAGACTGATAAAAGCAAAAGAGAGGTAAAAAGATAGAGGAGAACTGCCTTATCTTAACGTTAACACTGTTAAAGATATGTCTCTTTTATTTGTTTATTTTAGTTCTTCAACATGCTTGTTTGGCTGATTCTTTTCCTTGGGCTAAGCACATAGAAATATTTTTCTTGATGGTTGGTAGTGAGGTTAGAACTCAAGACCTCTTTATATACTGAATTTCTGAATTGCTTCATCTATTGTTTTAGCTGTAAGAGAAGAGACTTTTGTTAAATTTTAGGATTTCAACAATATTGAATGCTCATTTCTCTTAATTCTTATGCATTCAGTCTATGAATTAATCGATTTTCATTTAGTCCATTAAGAACTTTATCAAGCTGTGAGATGTATAGGAAATAGAAACTAATCGTGTCATAGTTAAATCACAAAGTAGTTTCATAATCATCAGCAGGATGTTTGTGCTGTTTCCTTAATTATACCTCCTTCTAATGTTTGTGAAGCTATTTTGGATAAACTTGTACACCAATTATTCAGTACGACTTAAGAGCGTCGTGCAACATTTATTTCTTTCTCCATTTACCTTAAGTATCTTATTTATTAGAAATTGAGAATCAGCATCTGGTTTTTTCTCAGACAAGCTGACTATTTCTTTCACCTGTTTATAAGCAAGTCTTGCTCCTTCTTGTCAAAGTTATGTTTGATTTTGTCCAAATGTGTATCTTTGGCAGGGTTGGTTCTTGTTTTCCAGAGGTTTTCAGTGTTGCTTGTTGTGATAGATTCTGCAATCGTATACCATTCAAGTCGCAGACAGAGATAGAGATGAAGTTAAGTTCTGGCGGCAGAGCTATTTCATCCGAATGCAGTTATGACCAATGTATTACACATGACAGATATACCATGAAGTTTAAGGTGACGTTTTATGTTCCTGCTTCGTGTCCTCTTCAATACACCTAACAAATCTTCTTGAATGAATAATTGTGTAAAAAATTTCCACTCTACAGAATGTAACCATTGAAAGTAGTGAATTGGATATGATTCGACCAAGTTATAAAGCTACAATACATATAAATTCAAAGGAGGATCCATTTTTTGTAGCTATTCCATGTGCAGGTAGTTAATACTATCTTGTTGTCCATTATTTGGGATATATAACATTCTGTTATTTCTTATTTATTTTCCCTCCGTTCACAGTTATTCCAGGACCATTGCAACGTATCCTTCTGCATCCTGTAAATTTTGGCAAGAAATTGGTTCCTGGGATGGTACTTAAGGAGCTTGCTCTTGAGGTCTGTTTAATTATATTTTAATTCAATATCTTACTATCACCATAAGGTGTATTCGAGTGTCACATGAAGTAAATTTCATCATTTCTATCTAGACACGGATCTATGTTCCAGTGAATAGTTCTTTAAAATCCTTTCATGCTTGAAATTGTGAAAAACACTGTTAACTACAGTATCGTTTTGTGTCCTTGAGAAGTATAATAACAGAATTTTTTTCGCAAGTGTATTATCAGATTTTTTTTGGAATAGAGAGAAAAGAGGGTACCATTTAAAAAAAGATGTACAATATGCAATTTATTTTTAGAAAATAAAGGTCTGGTATAGGATAGTAAAATCAGGAAGCCAAAGAAGACAATGCTAGTACCAGAAGATTGGATGTTTTGATGTCTTTGGTGGTCCAATCATCTTGGAGAGTGTTGAATATTGCAAAAGAGTTATGATGGAATAAACCAAGTGCCTGTTTTTAAGGTTTTGATGAGAAGTATAATATGATGATTACTTTTATGTTGCATCTCTGTGTTGAGTTTTAATGAAGAGTGCAAATTCCTTTCTCCTTCTTTAAAGGATATGATATTTGTGGTAGTGGTTTAACACAAAAAGCAACCACATGTGGACCAAAGCTGCTCGAAGCAAGCTCTAGTGACTCCACTTTTTGCTTCCCTGTATGACAGTTTGACATAAGTTCATTGTGACCGGTAAGCATTCCTTGATAGTGCATTATATATTCACCCTTACTTTTTTCCCTGAAAGGTCAATACAGTCTTCCTTTTTTCCCATGAAATGTACATATAGTAATATTTGATTTTAATCCACGTATTATAGTGTCCCATATGTTTGTCAATGAGCATTGCTATATCCTCTAATAATTACTACAGGATTGATATTAACCGAAACTAATGGTATTAGTTCGGTTTTGAACTTAGTCTTCTGCTCACTGGAATCAGTGTGGTCGTCTTAATTATCTTGCTTATTACTTGCCTGTTTGTCTTCCTTGACAGAGTTTATAAAGTACGATTCTCTAAGCAAATCTGTACAAATCGACCAATTGTAACATTTTGCATCAGCATACTGCATGTTTTCTTAATTATACATCAATGTTGATCGGAACAATGGCAATCTTGCATTACAAGAATCAATCAATGACTGTGTACGATATGAAAAAGAGCATATGCTTGTTGCTGCTGACAGCAACAATAGCTAACTTAACAGCTGCTTGATAAACAATAATATCTTGTTCACTTCTTTGCTGAAGGGAAAAAATCTCTCATGTCCCACTTGTTTATTCTTGTTTTCTGGTTTATTAGTGTATGTAGCTCCAGTAGGCTTTCCTGGTAGCTCTTTTTCTTTGCTTGCATTTTGTCTGGTTGTATATTATTATTTTATTTTATTTGATACAGACATTTGACAAATATGGTAACCATATGAGAAAAGATGAGCACATCAAGCTGACGCTGGAAGGATTACATTTACTAGATAAAGGAGATTCTTTTTATAAGGTGGTTTTCTTTTTCTTTTGGGTTGTCACATCCATTGTTCTAGTTTGTTAGAGGGAAAATCACATTTAAGAAGATAGTCTACACTTTCTTTTCTTCATTTATTACCATCTTTTTAGCAATTTGAAGAGTGAGAAATATTGCTTTTCCTATTTGACTTGTTCGATCTGATTATGTACGTCGAGATTTGTGTTTTGGGGTCATTTCAAAGTGTCTCATACTTCTGAGCTGACAAGAAGTTTTAAAAAATCAGATGTATTAAGAAATAAAACTACAGATGATAAGCATAATGTTCTCTTCCTAATTTATGCTTTAATTAGTTTAATCATTGCCGAACAAACTCCATTGGAGACCATGGTCTCACTTGGTAACCTATCAATGTTCAAATGCCCATTGATAAGCGGGGAACTTATATGATGATACTTGGAGAGAAATGTTTATTGTTTGAAGATGACTAATGTATTCAAGTCAAAAAATCGGGAATCACTCTTTTCAAGTTTGACCTATCACAATATAATTGGTTTAAGACCAATCAAGGTGTTATTGGGTTTGGTATGGTTCCTTTATAAATTTATTTTTGGGGCTTAGCTAAAATTAAAAAAGTAGATATTTTCAAAGAGGTCTGAGCCAATTAGGAATTATTCTAGCTGTACCATCTATTGTGCTATGTAACTTGTATACTTGTTCGTTTGCACATAGACGCACAAAAGATTTTAATATTACACCTTGAGTCTTGTGGATTAGTTAATGCCCCTTTATTTGGGTTGGTGGCTTGGTGCATGCCAATTGATTTTTGATGTCTATGGTCTTTTAAACTTGTTTGTTTCCATATTATTTTGCTATTTTCAACTTTCAAGTTGTTTACATTCATCAGATTTCGTGATGTAGGTTGATGATCATGGGTATGTAAACCTTAGTGGAACCTTGAAAGTAACAGCAGGGTATGGTAAACTTGGTATGTACTTCAACATACGTCAATGTTGCAGTAATAAAGGTTTTGTGTTTATTATCTACTGTCATGTACAAAGATTCATCATCTGCATAACTTTTTTGTGGTGGCATAAGTATATCAGGCTAACAGTATTACTGCATAGCAATGTGCTGAGTGCTGGGAACCTTGCTTCTGCAGTAACTCCAGTTGTCTATACTAACTGGAACTTCTTAGTGGAACTGTTAAAATTGACTTTGGGTCTAACTCAATCCCAAAAACTAGTCCATGAGGTGAGGATTATCCAAGATCATAGAAAGAAACAACAACTCATTTTCTCTACCAATTTAGGACATTTAACACATACACACACTGGCGGCTGGAAATCGAGCATGGACAACATAGCGTGGCTCTGTTTCCATGTTAAGAAATTGGACCTTGGGCCTCTACCCTAAAAATAGCTCTCATGAGGGTAGAGATTGCCCAAGAACTTACAAGGAGACAATAGCCAATGTGTTTTAGGAATAACCTTTGAAAAGGAAGATCTTTAATCCTTTTGAATTATGTACTTTGCAGAACCAACAGGGAGCTATCATTAAGGATCCACTTTAGTTTTTTCTTTTTTTCCATAGCTGTATTAAGGTCTCTCTGTATTGGTGGCAGTGATGTTGTGGAGAAAGTGGTGTGTGAAGAATAGCTAGATCATATGGTCCCCTGCCCTTTAACCAATAACTTTTGAAAGGGTCGACTTTTAAACCTCTTGAATTATGTACTTTGCAGAACAAAGATGGAGTTACCATTAAGTATCCACAAGACCACAACTTGTTTTTTCCATATCTGTGTTAAGGCCCTTTATTTTGGTGGGCAATGAAAGAGTGGAGAAAGTGGTGTTTGAAGAATATCTAGATAATATGGTCCCCAGTCTTTTAACCTATTTTTTCTATCCACAGTTTCCCTTTCTGTTTTGTCTGGCGATGAAGTAGTTTTCAAGAAAGAGTTCCAAACTGATAGGAGATCGTTGCGAGTTGCATCCAAGGTTTGTCAATACTCCTCCTCATATCCTATATGTTTTGCCAATAGTTCAACTTCTCTGTGTCACAAACTTTGCACGAGTTTTTTGCTTTCTTGCATTTCCCTTAACATACAGAAGAGTGGGGCCAATAACATTTAATTTCTCAATCTTTGAAACTGGAAATTACTTGGCTTTTCCGTTTCTTGACATTCTGAATCACGTCTCTTTAAGAATTTGAAGTCTCAAAGATGGACAAAAATTATGGGATAGAGAACTGTTTGTTTGTTATGGTAATGATAAAATGGTTTAATAATTAAAGTGCACCCAACCTACATCAGGTACCTAAAGTTTGTGCTGCTGGTTCTCATTTGGAAGATGTTGTTTTTGAGGTTATAAATTCTGCTGGTGAAGTGGATGAAGATATCGATAGTGAAGTGGAAGATGGTCACTCTCATACCCTTCTGATAAGGCAGGACTCATTGAGGGAAGAAGACAATGTGAGATACAGCTTCCATCGTGGACGCTGCATTGTCCGCTCTATCCCTCTTCCAGATAATGAAGGGCTTTTCTGCTTTGTAGCCAGTCACTCTCGTTTCCACGACCTGCAGACAAGCATAGAGGTTGTATTCTAGGTGACTTACCTTTCTATTTTTCTGGTATCACGGCCTCATACTTCTATCTGCAGGTGCATGTTGAGAAAGCTGTAATCTGTACACATGAACTTACCCAACCTAGAAGTCCCAAGAAAGAGATTCTGCTTCTTGAGGATTCAAATGGTAAAGGGCCAGAAACGGTGTGTCATAACACCTTTGATGGAAGAATAATGATCTTCAACAATTCATGTGCTTCCATGCATCTGGAAGACAGACTACAGGTATGTGTTTTTGTATCAAGAATGATAGTCTCACGAGACCATTAATATTTTTTTCTTTGGTGGAGGGAAGAATGGTCTTTTTTTGAATGTGTGAAGTTTGGAACACATCTTTTGATGGATCTGGCCGATCATTTTAATGCATGTCTTCAAGTGCTATAAGTGTCTTTGGCTTTTGTTCCACGTAGTAGTAGTAGTAGTAGTAGTAGTTGGTGTAGTAATAGTAGTAATAGAAGGACTAGAAGTAGCAGCAGGTCCCGCATGAATGACACATATCTATCTTTCTTTTTTGGCTTGTTCGCTATCTCTCATTGCTGCATTTACTGCTATGTAGACTGTCACTAAACTTGAGTGTGTTTCTCGACAGAAACTTAGGGATGATATTTGCAGATATGGCCTATGCATCAGACAATGCGATGCAAATGTGGAGTCACTTAATATTAAGCAATCAAATATTGAGCTTGAGATGTCCAACTTGGGAGGTATTAATTCATCTGATGCGTGTATGCTACATTACTGTCTACACCTCATGCCTTCAGCTTTCTATAATAGTTATCAAGATTCTGTCATGCTACTGTGTTGCTGCAATGGTTTGGCTTTATGTAGTCCGGAAATTTTTTAACTGGCACATGAAATCAAAAAACAATGTTATGTGCATCATGAACTATGCCTATTTCAAACCAACTGCTTGGCATGTTTGCATTAGATGCCACGATCTAAACGTGTTAATTAGAGATATCTTGACATGTAACCATCTCTTAACTTATTATCTCTTCTTTATGTTTAATATTTTTCAAATTCCAGGGACGCGTGCAAAAGGCGGTGGTAACTTCTTCTTTGAATCATGATCTTGAACCTTGTAGCTTCAAACCTAAAGATTACTATTTGTGGAGATTCCATATCTGTTATATATTCTGCTATATTTGCTTGCTTTCAGTTTGTCTCTACAAATTAATATGGTGTTAATGCAGCACTGTGAAATATTCACCGAAAAATCTATTAAACTGACTGTGACTTTCCATAAAGTGAAATTTAAAAGATTTCAATATTGAAAACGATAATTGAAGAGGGAAGTTTCATAGCATGTTGACATTGTAGATGCTCTTGTTCTTACACATTGTCTTCTTTATTTTATGTATGATCAAAGTTCTGCATTAATTTTCAAAAGAGTACTCTATAATATATCGGGGATTTCTGATAAATGCTGAATCATCCTGATTTGATCATCATTTGAAGGCCTTTTATGTGACCTCTTGCCAGTTTCTAGAGTAACATGTGTATAATTTCTAGAACTTAACCTTTTAGATTTTACAGCGAAGGCTGCATTTCTTTTAAACTATTTTCTGGACTAAACACAGTGTCTATAATTATATAAGAAATAAGACAAATACCAGAAAGGAAATTTATTCATTTATAAGTTAAGCCTTTGAAGTGGCTAATAGAGGTGAGGTAATTGAAGTAGTGTTTTTTTTTCCTGATTTAACTCTGCATAATTATTATGGCTATAGGATAGGGTGAATGTGAGTGAAAGAACTGAACCAAAGAGTAGGAATATTGATTGCTGGCACCAGGTCCATGTTGTCATCTCTCTGGCAATTTCAAGTCAATGTTTCAATTTTCAAGGAGAAAAACTAGTTATTTACTTATTTTAAGAAGAGGATCAATGAAAGAAAAAAAGAAAAAATTGATGATGGTGTAACTCTTGCAAGTTTCTGTTACTTCAGTTTGGATGGTTTAAATGTAGTCCTGACATTTCTTTTCTGTTCCTTATGTCTCTGGAGTTCTCCCCGAAATTCTCCTTACTTTCTCTTCCTGGTGCTATAACTAGTCTTGCAATTTCACAATCTGTTAAATTGAAAGAGATCATGTGGTTACTTGTTGAATAGTGATACCTAATTAGCAACAGACTGTCTTAACTTCTTTTTAGACATATTAAATGCATCTTAGAAATTGTAACATGAAATGGTCATAGATGCAGCTTTTATTGGTCTTGATTCTTTTCACGACTTGGGCTATGATAAAGACGTGATTATGGAGAAGATTGAAGGAAAGGCGGACAGTGCAGCTGCTGTTATACACAAGCTGCTCAGATCACCAAAACCTGAACAGCTGTATCTCAAATATGCTCATGACATACTTGGCGTGGTTGCACTTCTTGGAGAGGTTCGGACCCATAAGCTTAGCAGGTTGGTGCTGGTATCCTTTTCTTTAAAATGAAGTATAAGAACTTCCTTGTCTGTATGGATGTAATTGAGTGTGTTTTCTTCCCTTAGCATGCTTTCAACATATCTTGGAGAAGATCAGATGCTTGCTGTAGTATGCAAATCCCGTGCAGCTGCCAGAGCTCTTGAAAATTATCAAATGGATGGAAATGTGAATTGCGCCAGTGCTCTTGACATATTAGCAGCTAAGCTTGGAATTTCCATCAAGGGTCGATATTTGGTTATATGCCTTGAGGATATAAGGTAAAAGCCTTTCTTTCTCTGGTTTACTTTATACTAAATGATATCAATTGTTAGGATTTTTGGTTTCTCGATCCAGTTGACAAATCATGTTTCAACCATGTCTGGTCAGTGCTCTCTGAAAAAAAAAACAATGTCTAAGGTCCTTGCTTTTTTATTTCAGGCCATATAAGCGAGGAGTCAGCAGTGATCCCCAAAGAGAACTTGCTATTCCACACCCTACTTTATCAAACAGAGAAACTCCCCCAGGCTTTTTGGGCTATGCGGTTAATATGATATTCCTTCCTGCAGAATATTTGCAGTTTAGAACTGCTTCAGGTCATGGTCTAAGAGAGACATTATTTTATCGTCTGTTTGGTAAGCTTCAAGTCTACAAGTCTAGAGAGCAACTTTACATGGCAAGTTCCTGCATAGAAGAGGGTGCGGTTTCCTTGGATGGTGGAATGATGAGAGGAAATGGAGTTGTATCTGCATCTGTTGGATCTGAGTATGTACTTTCTTTTTCCTACTTCTCTACCATTTATTTGTTTCTCACAAAGATGAGTAGATTTTGCATGACATCCTTGGGCCTTGAATGATTAATGTCTGTCTTTATTTTCTTCAGGGAACCATACATTCTATTTCCAGTCATCTGTCTGGAAAGACAGTTGCTCCTCTCACCTGAGAAAGTAGAAAGATTGAAGAGAATCGAAGAGTTGAAACTGGAACGAAATCAATTGCAAGATCAAATACAGGAAGAGCTTAGGAATGAAGCAAAGTACAAGAAGAAGTTGGCCAAAAAGCTCAGGGATAAAAAGCAGATTGATGATCAGTTGGAACCTTCTCCTGGAATGTACAGCTCGGACATGGATATCAGTTGTTGATGGTTTGTTTCTTCTGAGGCTTGTACATGTAATTACCTAAAACAAGGCCTCTATGTTTATTTATGCTTTTTTGGATCATATTTTTGTGAAGAAACACAGGGTAGTATACCGTACAAATCAACACCTGTAGCGTAAATGAATGCTCAAGTTGTATCTTTCCCCATGATCTCAGTGTCGGTGAGCAGAGTTACTTTAAAATCATAGGAATCATTTATTTATCTTTGTTTGGAAAGGAACTAAAGGTGACTCAGCTGCATCTGGTTCCCTTTCAGATATGCTTGTATGTGACAGTAGGAACAACTACTCATTATGTTATTTTTGATGTGTAGCAAACAGTTACAGTAATATATTCAGGGAAAATAATTTGTCAATCATTAATCACTTTAAAAGAATGAGCACCCTTACTATTATTTTCTTCGTTAAATATTGATTTTATAATAGATTAAATTGCCATCTATTGTTTTCCTTAACTAATTGTTATTCTTATATTAAGACTTTGAAATCAGCTAAAATTTTAATTATTAAACATTTGATTGTGGAGCTAGTAAGAAATCCTTATATTTGGAACTCTAAAACCAAATGCTTGGCAAAAAATATATCGAAAAGTAAGTTGCCACCTTACAACAATAATATATATTCCGTGAAATCTCACAACTATTTTTTTTCTAATCCGATGTTCGATATCTACATTGAAACTCGATCCAACTATTCCGAAATTACACCACATAGGCTTCATGGGAAAGCGCTCCCTACCAAACCAAAACAAACAGTGAATACGACAGATTAAGTTGCGGACTATCGTAGACTATTTATTTCTCTCTGCAACAGCAAACATGTTTTTTCACTTAAGTTTTCTTCTCTATCAAAATGATTATTCAACAAGTTATTTCTAAAGGTCATGACAAATATATATACATATATATTACATGAGAGCATATATTGAAGTTCATTATTAGAGAACTAGACTATACTAGATGACAAAAATGAAGAATTCTATTCAACATGATAAAAAAAAAAGATTTATGCATGTATTATGGCTAGGCAATTAATTAAATCTGTTTGCAGCGACTTTGTGGAGAATAAGAAAAAATTGCATAGAAGAAGACATGATTTAAATGGAGCAGGATTATATACTTTCATGTTTTGGCAATGTATATGCATGATTTTGAGTTCAAGCAAGAAGCACCAAAAAAAATAAATGAAGATACACATAAAGCAATGTAACTTAAGCATACAATTATATGCTTTAAACTTTTTTTAGAGTAGTTGAGGAACTGATGATGGATCGTTTCCTTTGTGTAGTCATGTATTTTTAAGATTAGTAATCAATTTTTTTTTACTTATACGACTGATTGACTTATCTATTTATGTATATTCCCTTAAACCATTCTACCAATTCTTCTCTGTTCCCTATTCATTCTAGGGCTATTGACTATTGTAGGTATAAGCAACGAAAATTATGTTCAACAAAATGATCGTATATATATTTAATATATCGATATGTGTATATAATATACTGATATTATATAAATAATGTACAATTTATATAGACGATATACATATATATATATATATATATATGTTCAACAAAATGATCGTATATATATTTAATATATCGATATGTGTATATAATATACTGATATTATATAAATAATGTACAATTTATATAGACGATATACATATATATATATATATATACATATAATACGTTTAAATTAAAATTACATATATAATACGTTTAAATTAAAATTACGTTTAAATTAATAATAAGATGTAAAATAATAAGAGTAAGAATTTAGATATAATACGTTTAAATTAAAATTACATATATAATACGTTTAAATTAAAATTACGTTTAAATTAATAATAAGATGTAAAATAATAAGAGTAAGAATTTAGATTTAAACAAAGAGGATATCTGTCAAGATGATGTAAGCTGTGGTTGTAAAATTTGTTGTAAAATCCTACTCAGTACTCCCTCTTCCTGTTCCGTTATCTAGTATTAGTAGTTTTTTGTTGCTGAATCCATGTAATTTCTCCCAAAATTACTTTTTTTTTTTTTTTTTTTTTTTTTTTTTCACTGTTCATCTCTTTACCTTACTCCTTTCATCTCTTTTCTTTACCCATTTTCTTAGCACCTGCTTCTTTAACCACACCCTGGGATTCACAGTCCTTTTGGTTTTCTGACCATGGCGGACTTTCAACATCCCTAGGTATTTACAGGTTAATCTATCGGGGTTACTAAGAGGATAGAGAACTAACCATTTACTAAGAATAAATCAAAGAGTGAACATGTTAACGAAAATCATAATAGCATATCATAATAATATGAACATCATATCACACATAATAACATACACAATAATAACATAGTACATACACTTAGGGAGAAGATTACTAGGATCTAGAAAACAGATAACTACTTACATGATAATGGTCGGAATGAGGTTTCCCTTTCGGGAGTCCCCGAAGTGACCTTGCAGGTACTTGTAGGAAAATACACTCACACTCTTTGTACACACACAACAAACACTTACTCACTCTTTATTTTGAAAGGGAAGGGGAATATTTAAACTATTACTTAGAAATATTTAGGCTTTTGCTCTCTGCTCTGCACTTCGCTCTATCTCTTTTCTTGTAATATGGTTCTTATTTATAGAAGTCCATCCGGATTTGAAATTCGGATTTCAATTTCTAAAAACTTTCTTCACCTGCCGGGTGCTCTTTGGGCCCCATTGTCACATGGCTTTGTGAAACCTTTGTTGAAATTGAGTGTCCTTCTTTGTCTTCTTGTGATAGTGGAGTGGTGTCCTTCTTTTGTCTTCTTGTGATAGTGGAGTAGTGGACATGTAGTGGAGTTTCTTTATCATAATGGACTTGTAGTGGAGTCTTGTAGTGGAATCTTGTAGTTGATGAAGGCTTGTGATGTCACTGCTTACCTATTTGTTTGTCTTCTTGTGTTGATGTTATTGCTACGTATTTCTCTAGGTATCCAGGTTGTGTAGTGTTACAGAATCAAAACTCATCCCTGAATCATTGTCGTCATTTGGATCATAATGTTGATTAAACTGGTCTGATAAATTATTTTCGTCACTGCTACTCTCGTGGTCAGAATTTGCTGGATCTGGCTTTGGATTTTCTCGTATGATTTTTTCTTGTACTTCTTTAGTCTTTTCTGTGAGAAATTTGTAAAGGGAACTTTTTATTATTTTTTCTATTCTTTTATTTTTTTTTTTCTTTTTTGGAGGAATCATGTTGTCCTTTTACTTGTCTCTGCCATTGTATTGAAGCTTGCCGGCAGAATTCTTACACTTTTTGGTAAAGTGTCAACCATCAACGAATTTGATGAGTCTTTACCCGCTACCGTTTGAACGGGACTAGCTGTACCTTTAGCTGGTACAATAGCTTTTTCTACATTCGTTGGGGAATGTACACCCGTCTCATCCATTTTGTGGGGAGATGGAGAACTCTTATTTTGATCGGTATTTCCAAGTAAAAATCTTATCCTCTCTTGTAATGAGTGGATATGTTGTGTCATTTTCCCTTTTTCTGTTTCTAGTCTTTCGATTGTCTGGTTTAGCCTTTTGAATCCTTCCGTCATTGAGGAACAATGATCGCAGAAAATGATTCTGTTTGTGTCTTTCTGAATATTGTATTGCAAAGACGGTCTTGAAATTTGTCTCAAAGCTGGACTGATGAAATAATTAGGCCCGAGAGTTCCTCTAGCATAGTCTAGTGCTTCATTCAAATCATTGAATCCCTTAAAGAGTGGGGTAGGGAAGTCTTTAATTGAATCTACTACTTCTATCCATGTCTGGAACACGCCCTGTAATTTTCCTTGAATTACTACATAAAATCTGAATTTTTTGTCTTCATTTTTGTCTGTAAAATAATGGCTTAAAGAATTTACTACGGACACGAAATAACTGTTGTCTCGAGGAATCTTGTTGTATGCTATCCATAGGTTGTCTATTAAGCATCTTTGAGGTCTATCTATCTTCGTTTCTGGCTTCACCCTGAAACTTAGATTGGATGGAGGATAGAAGATTAAATTTTGTTTTCCAAAATATATTCTTTCCATGCTCGTTGTATTTTGTCTTGTTTGTGGTTGAAATGAAGTATTTCCTAAGAGAGTCTGCAACAAGTCTTTGTCTTTTTGCCCATTTGAATTTGAACTAGATGCTCCGTCTTTATCTGTACTCATGCTGAAAACAAACAGTTAGTTTTCATAAGTCTGCTTAGTTGATCTGCTAAAGAATTATCTTTCCCCTTTATATGCTCTAAAGATATATTGTATATTGATGTAGCGTCTAAAAAATTTAACCATCTTCTTTTACTACTATTTTTTCCTTCTATTTTTTGGTGAAATTTTACAATAGCCTCGCAATCCGTTCTTACCAGAATTTCTTGTTTATTAATAATGTATAACTTAAAACTATTTAATCCGTATATAACTGCCAAAATTTCTGCATCTATGCTACTCATATTTCCCTTTTCTTTGTATTTTCCGCTGTGATAAGCGCAAATTTTTTCGTCTTTTTTATCTCCATATTTATTGTTTTTTGTTTTCAAAACTGCTCCCCACCCTTCGAGACTTCCGTCTGTTTCTACTATTGGGTAATCTGTTTCTAGTGGGAGGGCTAAATCTGGTATATCTTTAACCATTTGTTTGAGTTTTTGTACTAGTTTTATGTCTTCTACATTAAATGTCTTTTGTCCATGACTTCCTGTTTTAGAGTATAGGGGTCCTGCTACTTTCCCTAGATCTTTGATGAAACTCCGTGCATAATTTAGTATTCCTAAAAATTTTTGCAAGTCTTTAGTATTGTCTAATTTATCAGGCATATCTAGAACCTTTTTTGCTATATGGGGTTGTAGTTTTATCTTTCCATTTCCAATTTCTACCCCTAGGAATTTTATAAGAGTCTTACATAATTCCATTTTCTTTTTGCTAATTATAATTCCATTGTCTACGAATAGTTTAAATACCGTTTGCAAATGTCCTAGATGTTCATTTGTATTATTACTAAAAACTAAAATATCGTCTACATAAACTAAAATAAAGTTTTTATAGTCTCTAAATATATTATCCATCTTTCTTTGAAAAATTGGAGGGGCTGTTTTTAAACCGAAGGGCATTACCAACCATTCGAAATGTCCTTCTGGACAGGTAAAGGCTGTCCATTCTATGCTATCTTCATGCATTTTGACTTGCCAATATCCGGACTTACAGTCAAACTTACTAAAAAATTTTCTTCCTTGTATTCGATTTATTAGTTCTGATTTGTCTGGTAATTTATATCCATCCATTCTAGTATTGTCATTAAGTCTTTTATAGTTTATTACCATCCTAGCTTTTCCTCTTAGTATTTCATTGT